GTCCTTAGGGAGCCTGAGGGGAAGGGCAAGGACAGCACAGGCAGGAGGGCAGGATGGAGAAATGCCCCAATGCTCCCACTGAGGCAGAACAGGCACCCTGAGGTGGCACTTGGACGCTTCTCCTCTGCAGGGATCAAGCTGCTAAGTAGGCTGAGATCCCACTGCCTTGGAGCCAGAAGTTCTGCTGTGGAACAGAGGAGACCAAGGGCTTGCTCCGGGGAAGAGACCTGACTGCAGCTGCTCCTGCTGGAAGCTGTCCCCACCTCTCCTCCCTGGCCCTGCTCACAGACCCATCCCACCCAGCGGGTGCTCAGCTCTGCCCTGCAGACCCTCCTGGCAGCAGGACCCTGCCCAGGCACAGCTCTGTGCTGGCCACTCCTCAAGAAGAGACCAGAGCATCCCTGAGGAGACCACAGAGCTGATGGCAGGGCTTCCTGCAGGCAGAGGAAAGCCTGAAGGGATTTTCTCAGGGGCCTTGACAAACCTGTTCCTATCTCCCTGCAAAGCTGCAGGAGTCTGGGTCTCCTGTCCAAGCCAGCAGCTCCTGGGCTGGTTCCTCCCACCCGCAGAGAGGGGCATGGAAAGAGACACTCATCATGTCCAGGACTGTCAAGATGTCTCAATCAGTAGCTCCCAGCCCTCCTGCCCCTCGTGCCTGCTTTATCCTTTCTCCCTGCCTGGCTCCTCTCCCCTGCTGCCTGCAGGCAGTGCCCTCAGCCCCTACTGGGGCTCCTCTCCACAAGCCAGACTCAGCTGCAAACTCCAAACTTCCTGGAGCGTTAATGGGTCCCAGGGAGGACCATTACCAAGAAAGGCTGCACAGGAGCTGATTAGAGCAGGAACCTGGAAACACTCCTGACAGGTAGGGAAGGGCCATGACAAGGTGGCTCTGATGAGCAGTGAAGCTGAAGAAACCTCTCCAGAAGCCAGAGTCAGGTGCAAACTCCAGAGTTTCTTGTAGTGTGAAGGGGTCCCACTGAGGGACATCCCTGACAAACCTGCCTGGGCTCTGGTGTGAGCAGGAACCTGGAGGCCCTGCTGACAGCAAGGCAAAGGCAAGGACAAGAGGGCTCTGAGCCTGGGTGGGTTAGATGATTCAAAAGTCCAAGCGCTGAACCAAAGGCCCTAGGAGAAGAGATCTTGCCCTTCACACATTGCTCAGGGTTCTGCCCAGGCACTGGGATGTGGGGATGTGCAGTGCCTGGAGCAGGACTAGGATCCAATCTTTCCCAGGTTCTCAGCTGGAGAAAGTCCTGCTGCTCTCATGAGAAGGTGTCTCCTTGTAGGCAGCAGCTGCAGAGAGAAGCTCCACAGCCCAGGAGATCAAGATTGGGCTGGGG